GAAATGGTGGTGATTCACAAATAAATTGTGTGTATATTGTAATCAAGTATTACCAACAGAAAATAATATATCTGATGTTAAAAGTATATTAGCACCTATTAAAAAAAACATCCTTTCAGAAAACAGAAGTGATCTACTAGCACAGGCTCAGATTATGGTTTTCTGAAGCAGCCCATTCAGACCATACCCAACCACTTCTTTCCAAAACACTCTGATATGTACCCTACCCTTAAGCTTTGTGGAAACATGTCCAGAACTCTCCAGGCACCACCTTACTCTTCAACGGGTAGGCTTTATACATCTTCTCAACAATATCCCACCATCTTTTGGTACTACATCCATTCTGAAGACCATTTCCTGAAGTTCCCTGTCTGTCATATTATCAACAGTTTTTATAAACGTTTCTCGAAGAGAATAGTAATGAATGAATTTTATGAACAAGACTGTGCACCTATTTCTCATTATATAACATTTTTACCAATGTATCCTCAGAGAACTGTAATGAAGAGGCTGAGGACTAAAGTCATGAATGTTAATGCGTTTGGGCAGCAGAAAGACTAATCTGGGATCTTCAGAGGGGGAAGAAGAACCTTCCACACCGCACATGGTGGCTCTGTGTGCAGTCATATAGAATGAGTTCTGGGAGAAGAGAAGAGGCAATTTTTTTTCCATGGTCTTTCCACCTAAGCTAGAGAAAAAGCATGTTAAAATAGATAGACACTTCAGTCCTAAGATCAGGGAACATGGTGCTATGAACTCCCCAAACTGCTAGCTGGGGCAAGTTGTGGCCGCAGCTGGAGACAGAAACAAGGAAGGAGATTTGTTATTGTTATGTACAGCCATAATAATGCAAAAGGTGTTAAATCTCTGTGCAAACCTTTCCCATCCATTACTGCAAGCATGTTTTTACATATAGTTCAGCAAAATAAAACCAGGCACCCACTTCTGAGCATGGTTAATAAAAATCAAGAAGCTGGACCACTGCACTGGTACACCACCATAGAACATAGTTAAGAAATGAAAAGATACTGTGTTGCTCCAGGAAAAAAAGAGCACATCTCTCCTACTCTTTACGGAAGAATTGTAGCTCACAAAGAAACCAGCTTATGTGGAAGAAGCATCTCCCATTGACTAGGCCATTTCTGGTTTGAGCAGGCAACCAGACAGCGGCTATAGGGCCTGAAAAATCCAGGATGCTTCTATTCCAAACATTACTACTAGTGCAAGAATTTAAACCCTTCCCTATTTATGCACTTTGTGCTTTTAACTGACACTTTAAACTGAGCTATGACACTGCTGAAGAGTTCCCCTGACATCCCAGCCCCACTCGTGCTTGCCATGGCAGCTCTTATCTCTTTATTGCTGACTACAGAATTGTTCTCCCAGCACTGCCACTCCTCACAGATGTCTTTGTTTAACTTGAATATTCCTTCACATCTGCCAGCATTTTCTTCCAGCTAAATTCCCACTAAATACAGTTCACTTCTCTAAGCCTCATCAGCTATTGCTCTAAATGTATCCCTTTGGAAGAAGAAAGAAAAAAAAAGTCTCTACCTGCTTTTAATAAAATGTATATCAATAAAAGGAGGATTAGAAAACAGTACTCTTATACTACCGAACAAATTTATTTCTGCCTCAGTTTATTCAACCATAAAATGGCAGTAATATTTACTACAAAATCTCAAAGAACAGTTAAGAGGCTTAATGTTATTAATTCAATAGTAACCAATTCTGACTCACTACAGGGAATATATAATCATTCCAAGTTGATATATATTTCTAAGATTTATAGTTCATGTTTTTTAGTCATTAGAATAACATTATTTGCTGGGTTGATATCCCAGTCCCACAGAGCGGAAAGCATTACCTGTGTTTTAGTCAAGATTATATTTTTCATAAGAAAAAGTTTCCTTGCATATCTGTAGCCTTTATTTTTCCTATAGGGCTGTATTATTAATAAATCCTTGCTGCCAGTAGGCTTACGTAAAGCTATTTAGAAATACATCATTTTACAGAATTTATTTGGAGCAAAATTAAAACATACTAACAAAAATACCGTTAAAAAAAAAGGAGGATTAAATATACACATAGGGCAGAATCTTCTTTCTTTAACCAGGTTTTTCCCCTAAGTCTATAAAGTAAAAAAATATTTTCAAAAGAGTAAAAATACAAGGGGAAGACTCCAGAAATAAGTAACCTCTATCAGAACAGAGTGTCGTTGTAATTTAAAGCAGAGATACTATTTCTAAAATTACAAACCTGAAGTTGTTCTTTCAGAAAATTGTAACTAACTCCAAGGTTTGATTCTGTAGGCTTTATTTACTCAAACATTAAGAAGCAAGGATTTTTTTCTGTCTCTCTAAAGAAAAGAGGGCTGCATTCAGCCGTACATTAAAGCCTCTGTAAGAATTATTCTGATCTGTACAAAGGATGCTTGTCAGCCATTTCCAGGGCTAATTGGACTAAAGTATGGTATGACCTAATTTTTCAGCACATGCCACAGTTTTCACATTCCTAAATGCTTCAGCCTTGAGAGTTTTGTTGTTTTCCACTAGTTACAACTTCATTGTATCCAGTTGCCAGCAGAGGGAGAAAACGTGATGTGAAGTCTAGAAATGTAATACAAAACACCATCTCTCATCTGCACTACTGAAATAAATATGATGCGGCTTCAACCATTTCTTTTCTAGGACAGGGTACACTCAATGTCAGTTCCCCAGCCCACGTGTAATCATATTAATTCTCTTCTCCCCTCAGTGTTTCCTCCACCCTCCCCTTTTGTCTTTTGTTCCATGTAGGCTGAATCTTTATGAGATGTATAAATAGTGGAAGAATTATGCAAAGGGATTTATTACGAAACTGGAAATCATTTCATTGACATTAATGGGAAAGTCTGTCTTTTGGAGAGCTCCACATTTCTAGATGCCATTTCCTCTTCTCAAGGTCCCCTAATGCAATGAACCAGGGCAAGATGGGAATTGCTTTACCTCTCTTATGCTTCAGAGACACGTGTATGAGATGGGCTGCCTAAGGGCTACGCTTTTTTTTTTTTTTTTTTAGTACAAGCAGTGAGTCTTCTACACAGACTTGCTTCTATTTTACTTAATTTGCTAAGCTTGTTGGCACACATGCAGTTATTTTAATCAGAGATGACCATGTTCCCTGTAAAAGCCCAAGATGCCTGCCCCCTCCACATATGTACAAGCACAAACAAAGCCATATAATGCTCTATTTAAATAAAATGTGTTCTCATTCCTTCCTTACTCATAAAACCTGACAGGTGTAACAGAGACAAAGGGCAGGTAGTTCCTGCTGCTGCCTCATTGTGTCACAGCTTTCAGCACCAGCAGGCTTGGCTGACTGGGTCAGGTGCATAGTCCCCTTCGTGGCCATCCTCATGCTCCAGGGGACGTTACAATCGAGACTGACAAGTTAAATGCTCTCTGTGCAGGATCCCCATCACCATCAGCAGCCTCAAGCATGATATCACGCACCACCTGCTTTAACTAAGGGACTGGGGATGCATTGGCAGAGCCAAAGGGCAGAGCTCCCAGGCATAAATTACTTTTTTTATTGCTCTCATCTTCCTTAAGCTCTCTGCCCCTTCAGGTCACTCTACTTCGTTCCAGGTGTTGCATGTTACACACAGATGATCATGGGTATAATAGCAAGTTATGGCACTGTTAAATCATCCAACACTTTTAGCTGTCTACAAGTGCCCATGAATCATCTGGAGTTTTGAGAATTTTTGTTCCAAGGCTAAATTAAACCAAGCTGGGGGTGGTGGTGAGGGAATGGCAATCCAGAAACACTGCATCAAGCTCCCTGATCATTAAAATACTCAGCAGAAATGGGAAAATCCTGAATGAGGCCCTTGCAATAACAGGTTCAGATCTGAGTCTCCTGTACAACAGATGAGAGTTCCTGCTGCTGCAGTATCAACTCCTCCGAAATAGAAATTGGGACAACCCCCCCACTTATGCCTTCCTAGGTAAGAAGGGGCTTCAGACACCTCAAGGAGAGCAGTTTCAGAAAGTGATCTTCAATAGGGCTGAGAGAAGGAACAAGGTGCACCAGTTCAAATAATAGAAACAGTACAGTGCAGAAAAGATCAACAGCGGTATGCAGAGACACAGAGGAGTCCAAGGTTTAATATTTATATCACTTGAGGGATATTACAATAGCTAACCTCTGCTGCCTACAAAAGCAGCAAGTGCCACTTCCACCAGGGAGGCACCAGGGACATGGGAAGAGGGAAAGTTATCTGTATATAACAATGTGCTGAGGTTTCTGTCCATTCTAGCCTGGCAGTGCTGGACACTATGAGGCTGTTCTGCGCCTCCATGTGTGAAGTCACATCTCTCGTGGCTGGTGAACTGAGGGCTAAAGCATGGCGTGCTGTTCCGAGCAAGGTCAAGTGTGTTTGCTGTAGGGCACCTGCAGAGCCAGGTGCCTGCCCATGAAGAGGGGTACCAACTAAGGGTGCAGGCTGTGTGTTCCACCAGACTGCTGCCTGCAGTCTTCCACGGCAGGAGGTAATAGTCAAAATACCTTCATCCATATGGCAAAGCACCTAGGACTGACCTCAAGAGCATACTTAAGTGAGCACTTGGTCTAGTACCAGTCTGTGCTTTGCTCCTCGCTGTGTTGCTGAGCTTACACAACCCTGTACAGGAATATAAGGTGATATACAAACAATGCAAAGGACCAATAAAAGTTAATTGGTATGTACATATATCGCTCCTTCAGAAAACAGCAGCGGAAGCAAAAACACCACCTGTCTTTGTAGGAAGAATACAGGAGCTCCTGTATCAAAACTGCATTAACCTAGCAATTACAACTCAGTGCAGAGCAACAGGCAATAAACTTGAAGGACCAGGTGGATGTTATGAGAAGAATGGTGCAGCTGGCTAAGCTACTTTTTCCTGCATGTAAATTCTGCCAATTTAACCACAACTTTCTCCATGGATTCCCCTAGAAATTAGAACTCTCCCACAGACCTTCAGTGAGAATTCTCTCATTGAAGTCCTCACAGGAGGATTACTCCAAAAACTCTTTTCATGCACAGTGAAGAGGTGATGTCTACGCAGCTTCTGCGCTTCAAACACCTGCCATGCAGATGTGTCTGTAGAATATTGATTGTTTCCTGAAAGGTTGTTCTTTACTGTGAGGGTACTAGAAGAGGTTGCCCACAGAAATTGTGGAGTCTCCTTCTCTGCAGATATTCAAAACCCGCCTGGATGCCATCCTGTGCAATGTGCTCTAGGCAATCCTGCTTGGCAGGGGGGTGGACTGGATGATCCTCAGAGGTCCCTTCCAACCTCAACCATTCTGTGGCTCATTTTCCCTAAAAAAAAAAAATCATGTTTCTTACACTCATTTGTAACCTGCCAGGGACAAGTAAAGCATAGCAAATACAATGAAAGAAAAGGCCTAGCAGGATAGTTCATTTTAGACTTATACTGCTAGTGGCATTTGCTGCTGTTAACTTCTACAAGCGGGGCAGATATAGATTTTTTTCCCCCCTTTCAAGTAGTGAATCAGTCATATGGAATATTTAGAAAGTACTGATTCACTTCCAGAGAAGCATGTGGACAGTGCTATTTTGTAGCATTAGCATGCTGCACAGAAGGCTAGACAGTGCTAATACACTTATTGTCACCCATCCCCGGGAAGAAAACACAAGAATCAGAGACTGATCTCCTAGAAACAATAATAATGTAATTCCATATTTTCAAACATCCTTCTCCAGTTCTTTTTGCCCAAGTTGTTTGTAAGCATAGACATTTTCATGAAGTGTATTAGTAGAGCATGAGCACAGCTATCTTTGGTAGGGACTATACTCGCTTTAGTTAATGCTAAGAATTGAAAAGACCATCCCATTATGCAGTCTGATCTCCTGGACAGCACAGTCAGTCCATTCACTGAATGAAAAACTCTTAATTAAAACAGATTGGAATTTGACCCTGAGCATTCACAAGTGCCAGCCAGGTAGCTAAGAACGATGAAGTGAAGAATGGATTGAGAACAGCATCCATACATAACTGTCCAGACTTGAGTTCTGGTCTCCTTTTGGCTCTTATTGCATCTCTCCTTTTGTGGTTTAAGGAGAGGTGAAATAAATAAAAAAAAAGTATTAAGGAACTTTAAGGCCTGCAGGCAATTGACTGAAGCACAGGATTCAGTAGCTAACTGAATTTACTATAGACCTGAATTTAAAACTAAAATGTTATGAATACACCAAGATTGAAGGAGAAAAAAATCGTTTTGGTTATTATTCATCCACAGAAATAGCACAGACTAAAATATTCTGCGTAATGTTTCTGAAAGATTTCTAGTGCTCACTCATCAGGTAAACTACCTCAGCTTTTAATTATCCTACTTCTAAGGACTTTCCTTTTTGTTCTTTTGCCATCCTTGTGGCTGGAAAGCTCTCTTTTATTCAGAAATTGAATTATTCAACTTCATCTTCCAGCTACTGAACTGCAATATACCTCGTAACAGTTGCAATTGTATCACTTCCCGGGTTTCAGGACTGATTTGCAGCAGTGAATTCTCCTTTGAATATTTTCACTGAACAGACATGTGCATGCAAAAGGTCTGTGACAAACTCTCTTATTTAGCTAGTGGTTCAGTTCCAGTTTCTCTGTCTCATATTACACAAACCTCTTAAAAGACTGAGAAATAGTTAAATCTCTCTATATGCTAAACTAGTATGTATGGAACATTTCCTTCTATCATTGTATCCTTCCACTGATTTCTCTCCAGAAGTTTCACATCCTCTTTCAATCTTTCTTGGACATAACTTGCTTTATTACCAGTCCTCTTTTCTGATAGTCTGCAGGTCACAAGATTCAATCACTGTCTAGCATGCCAATAGAAACACTGAATAGCATCAGGCTCCACTTTTTAGGGAAAGCTACTAGTGTCTCTTGCACTGCTAGATCTCCATTTGCTGTGTTATCTGTTGACAAGGTAGATTTTAACTCAATTTACGTAATAAATATCAGAAGGCAAGTTTGCTTTTTTTTTTTTTTTTTTTACCATAGTACATTTTTTGTACTAAATCAGTGTAATTTCAAGGATGGTATGTCAACAAGACTCCTAAGATTACAAAAAAAAAAAAAAAAAAAAAAAACACACTGTCAAACCATCCCTGAGAAACAGAACAACCTCCCACCACCACTTGTCTCCATTATGCAATGCCAGCCTAGGATGTAATTCCTGCCCATTTAGAAATCTTAACTCCCAACAGCCTATAGTGATGGCTCAAGTTTTTGAGGGAACCACGAAGGAAAGAAGGGAGCAAACTGTCATTTGACTTTGCAGATCACCATGACCATCCTCTCTGCAGAGATCACCTAAGCTTTCCACATAGGACTGAACTTCCTCATCCTCCATTGCATGAACTGGATTTACCCTCAGGATGTGCTCTAGTACCAAACATCTCCTGGCTACATTTTAATTTTATTTATTTTTTTACAATTTTACCTCTTGTATCTACCAGTCACCCAAATGCCCCTTCACCAGTTTCTTTCCTATACGGGATTAGCACTTGAATTGCATGCTTTTGGGCACTGAAGTTGCTTAGAGACACTTCACACCCAGTGCAAACAGCCATTTTCACATCATCTAAACCAGGTTCTTCAAAATAGGTAAATAACCGTTTGCTTTACTCTTCACCAGAAGTGTATCATTTATAGCTGGAAAAATAGAATGATATGGTCTAAAAATTTTCTCTCTTTCGCTTGAAGACTGCCAGTTCTCTCTGATGGTAGCTTTGGCTGGAGAAAGCTCTCAGCAAAGGAGGAGCATTAAATATAAATGCAAGATGTTTCATGCACGTTCTAACATACTGAACCTTCAGAATAAATTATTTATAACCAAGGTTGGATGTGCCATAACAGCATCTACCCAGCAGCTAAAAAAACATATAGGAAATGGGATGGCAAGCCACAGAGACTAACAGAAAGAAGCCTGACAGCTACAGCTGCGAGACTGATAGAAAAAATAAAAATAACCTAATCCTTAAATAAAATTATTCAAGGAAGGAAGCAAAGGGATGACCAATTCATTCTGATTTTCCCCCCCACACATTTGATAATCAACCTCCAACAAGAATACAAGGACGAGAAAACTTAACAAGAAGACTTAACAGAATTACAAATACAGTATATTTGTTTGTGTTATGCATCTATTTCTATGCATATAAAAAAAGTCATAGTTCTCAAGCCTTCATTTAAAAAATAAATAGTAACAAATTAAGACCTGAGATTTGCCATGCAATAGTAATATACAAACTTTTAGTTTAGCATCTTAGTTCTTACATTGCTTTAAACATTGTATTAACCAGCAGTACCTTATTAACAAGTGCAAGATTAATTTTGGCCAGGTTACTTTCTGGAGGTATTGCAGGTAGAGCAAGAAATACACATCTTATTTTACACAGACCATATTTTATTTCCATCTCCCTGTCGTTAGAGTGTGAGGTGGAAGTGTTGGAGCAAAAATTCATGATGGTGATCTGGGGATGCAAGTCCTTTCACACCATGGCATAGAAGCAGTATACAGATTCCAGTCAGATAAAAATACTAGGGAGAACTTAATACAAACCTCTTTAATAAATCCATACTTCTCATTCCTTAATCTGTTTTACACCACTGGAGATCACTTATCTCCATATTCAGTGTTTTGAATCAGAGTTCAAAAAGATGATGCAAAATAATCAATGCTTCAGTATGATTTCTAATATTAACCTTTATATTCTGAAAATATTACTTTTCTATTCTGAAAGCTCCCCTCCACCATCAGGTAGCTCTCAGGTCAGAATATAAATACACTCTGACAAGCAAAAATCTTTTACTCTGAATTTTTTCCTACAAGAAGGTTGTCAGAACATTGCATTAAGTATATTGCAATTCTGTGAAATATTTTCAGCTGATACCATGCTGGCAGTGTAAAGGGTTTCGACTGAGGCTTGCTAAGCAAGGGAAGTCTACTAGCTATGCACAGTAGTTTGCAACAACTTTTGGGGTACAATATCAAAGTCTGTAAAGCAAGGCAACAAGACATAAATACACTAAGTGAAATTTCACATACAAAAATGCTTATTGGATCCTGAAATCTAGTAACCCCTTTGCTTTGGAGAGGACCATGTTGAGGTTATGGAGGGCACACACTAGACTGCATTGATGTCCCTGGTCCGTGCTGCATCTACAAACATCATGTTTCCCATAACAGCTAACAGTACTGCACCACAGCTCTACGTTACACAGGAACAACGAGCTGGACCAGGTACACTCTTACATTTGGGTTTCAGTCTAAGCAGAATGAAGTTGTCTATGCACCATCTTCAGGGACATCTGCGGGCTATTCATCATGCTTGGTGAAAGCCCCTAAACTCAGTAACACCCTGCTTATTGTCTGAGACTGTCACCTAAGTATAGCAGAGCACAAACTAATCATTTTTTACTGCTGCCATGAGGCTGAGCATGGGAGGCGAGGATGAAGCTGAACGCATACTAACTTTCCATAAAGAACACAAGCTGCTACTTCTGAGTTTTTCAGCATGGACAACAAAGAGACTGCTCCCACACCGTGGGTGGCTTTTCAGGCTTCAAAGGCACATGTGGTTATTTTGGATATTTCATGGACCACTTTGGAAATGTGCATACACCCCAGACAGAGGGGCTGATATCCTCATTTTAGAATTTTGCTGAGGATAACGCTGTCTGTTCTCACTGTAAATGAGTAGAAAGCCCGATGCTATGGGAGAAGTTATGCATATAGCAACTGTTAATAGTTTCAGCTAAAATCAGAAGCAGATTTAACAAAGCTTGAAGCATAGAAACAGATTTATGAAAATAGTTCGCAGGCAAGCAAACTATTCAAACCTACATTGCACTTCTCATCAAACACATTTGCATACCGAAGTCAGGGGGGGAAGTTGTCTTAAATTTGTCATTGGAAAGAAAATCCCATCATAGTATTTTTAGATGCAATTCTCTTATTAGCCCCACTGAGAATTCTGAGTAATTCCACTGACGTCAGGGCTATAATAGTGTAAAAAGCATGAAAAATATAAGGACAATTGCATCCAATATCACAACCAGAATAACAGAATGAATAATGGACAAATTGACGCAGAACTTCACTGCCAGTTATGCATTCCAGTGTTGCAAGGCTATTTTATACCTGCTGTGGATGTTGGTCCATTGTCAACAATATTTTCTCACATTTACATTAATACACCTGTTAGGAACAATGTTAAAATTTTTTAAAGTGCCATTAAAATCACAGGGACTGTTGAGTAAATTAAGGACT